AACCAATTTACTACTTAGAAGTACTACCGGAAGGACCGCTAATATAATAATTAAATTCTTATTTAATTTAAAGTCCAACTTAAATAATAATAATTTTTTTATTAATTAGTACAACTACTAACCCTAATAATACTAATTTAATTTAACCCTTTATTCTTTAAAAAGAGGCCTTAGCGTTATAGTATCCATCCTAGCCCGCTTCTATTCCCTTACGCTTATAAGTTCTATAATTTCTAATTTTTTAGATAAAGGCTTCTTTATCCTAACCAACTTTAAACGTTTAGAAATTCCTTTAGAATTTAATTCTAAGAGTAATTTAATATTAAAAAGATATAAAAGTTCCTAAAGTTTTACTTTATTATTTAATATTTAATTAGCATTATCAGTAGCGAAGTATTTACTTTCTAATAATATAATTACTTTAGAATTTATTAGTATTATAATTTTAAGGAGGGGTTCTATATTTTTGTTTATATTAAGGTTATTTTTTCAATTATTTTCTAAATTATTTTTTAAGTCGGTTTCTAGGATTAAATTATTAGTAATTGAGAGAAGTAATAGGAATAGGTATAATAGAAGTTGAATGGAGTTGGCGTTTAATTATAGAATATATTTATGGTATAGATTTTTATAGAGTTCGGGCTTAGACTTATTCGTTAGGTAAATTCTAAGGCTATTCGAGAAGGAGAGTATTAATTTAACGAATATAGACGAGGATAGAAAGAATAATAATTATAGTAGTAATTTACTTAGGAGAAATAGTAAAAGTAGGAATAGGGAATTAATAACAATTAATAAAGATAATAATAAGAATGGGGATTAAAATATAGAGGGTTGGAATAGTAAGTATAAAGGGGATAGTAATATTGAGATAGTAGATTCGATTTAGGTTTAATTCTATTTTAATAAAGCGTTGGAAAATGGAATTAATATTTTTATTTGGGAATAATATATATATTTAGTATTGGGGTAAGTATTAGGTTAGGTTAGTCGATACCCCTTTTTATTTATATATATTTTAAATTATATTACTAATATATTTTTAGTAGGTTAGTAGCCCTTAGAGGGTTTTAGAAATACTTATTTAATATTTAGTTTATTGAAGGTTACTTTTTATTACTAAGTTAAATATTAGAATTAATTATTTTCTAATTCTTCTTTATTTATATTTATATATTTCTATTCCTTAAACCTCTTTATACCCCCCCCGGGGGCTGTATGTTTATAGAATTTAATTAAATTCCCCTTCTAATTTTAATTCCTTCTAATTTTATTAGATTTCTTTATATATATATTATACTAATGCTATTTTTATTACTACTATACCGCTACTATATAGGGAAGTATGCTTTTATCCTATATTTTTATTATTTTCCTATAGGGAATTATACCTTTATTATTTTTTTATAGGGAATTATACCTTTATTATTTTCCTATAGGGAATTATACTTTCCCTGTTTTCCTATAGGGAATTATACCTTTATTATTTTCCTATAGGGAATTATACCTTTATTATTTTCTTATAGGGAATTATACCTTTATTATTTTCCTATAGGGAATTATACCTTCCCTATTTTCCTATAGGGAATTATACCTTTATTATTTTCCTATAGGGAATTATACCTTTATTATTTTCCTATAGGGAATCATACTTTAAATGAAAATATTATTAGAACTTTCGTTATAGGAAATATTTATTAGTAATTTTGTATATACGGATTTAGGTAGAAGATAAGTAAGTAATATTTCTACTAAGGAAGTTATATTTTATTTGCAATATGAATTGTAAAATTCTATCTATACAAAAAACTCGTTACTAAACGTTATATAACCCTTTATTAAATTATATAGTATCCTTATTTATATAAAGTTATATATATTAAATTTATCCTTTAGAAATAAAAATAAAGAAGAGAAAAAAAATTTAAAAAAAAGGATTTAAAAAGGGTGGTTCGAATTAGTAGCCTCTTAAAAAGATAGTATGTATAAATATTAATTATACTACAATACCGAATCTTATATATAAGCGATATATAAATTTATATAAAAGTTTATATAGTGGTATTAATAGAAAAAAAAAATTTGGATTGTACGATAGGTTAGCGAATAAACTTAGACCTCCTTGGACTTATTAGGGTTTTATTTGAAATTAATTAGTAGATCGATGGATTTTATTAAATATTTTACCCTTCTTTGTAAATAATAGGTATAGGATAATATAGATTATATAATTATATATATATTTATCAATATAAGAGGAATAATTTTAATTTTTTCTTTAAAAATTTTTTTTCGTTCGATTATTTTTTATTTATTTAAATATTTATTATTTTATTACTATTATTCTACTACTATTATAGGATTTATTAAGGGTAATTAATAATTTATTTTATAAAATAGTATTTACTTATTGTAAATTTACAATTTTTAATATATATAAGGAATATTTAGATAGTAATTAGAAACCCGCCAAACCTGAGGATAAGGGTAAACGTTGGGCTGTAATACCCCCTCTAGAGGTTAATAAATATACAAGTATAGGAATTAAATATTAATTTATCCTTAAATTATTTCTATTAATTTCCGTAGGGTATATATATAATCGCCCTTAGTAAGATCTTCTACTATTAGAAGGAGTTTAAACCAGATTATTATAATATAGATATTTAATATAGTTTTAATATAAATAAGATTTGAAAGTTATTAAAATTAATATAAAAATTAATGTTTAACCGTATTAGATTATATTTACGATTTATAGTAATTTAATTAAGTATTTAAAAAGTATTTATAATATCCCTAAAGAATATTTACCGGATATTTTAATCGGAAGTATTAAATTAAAGTTTATATAATTATTATTAATATATAACTTAACCCTATAAAATCTTAATACAATTAAATTAATTATAAATAAATTTAAAATAATATAAGGATTTAATAGCTTCTATAACCTTAAATTAGACTATAATTATCCCTATTCTTAATAAGACTTTATACCCGGTTATTCCTAAGAAATGTAAGGTAATAAATTTTAATAGAGAATTGGATTTAGTTATTTAGGTTAAAAATACCCTTTAGATTTATATATTAGATTTGCTTTTAATTTAGGATAAGTAGTAGGAAGATAAATAAGAAATATAGTAGGAAAAGTAATTGGAGGATGAATAATAGGAGAATAAGTAAGAGAAATAGTAGGAGAATAAGTAGGAAAAATAATCGGAGGATAAGTAATAGGAGGATAAGTAGGAGAAATAGTAGGAGGATAAGTAGGAGAAATAGTCGGAGGATAAGTAATAGGAGGATAAATAAGAGAAATAATAGGAGGATAAATAAGAAAAGTAGCTGGAAAATAAATAATAAGAGGATAAGTAGGAGAAATAGTAGGAGGATAAATAAGAGAAGTAGTTAGAGGATAAATAATAGGAGGATAAATAGGAAAAATAGTAGGAGGATAAATAGGAAAAATAATTAGAAGATAAGTAATAGGAGAATAAATAGGAGAAATAGTAGGAGGATAAGTAAGAGAAATAGTTAGAAGATAAATAGTAGGAGGATAAGTAGGAAATATAGTAAGAAAAATAGTAGGAAGATAAAGAAGATTCGGATTTAATAGATTTATAATTAGAATTTAAAGATAGAGGGGTGTAAGGAAATTAGTAAAATAATAAAATAGAGAAAAAGGCGGATAGTTTAATATAAATACCCTTCTAGAAGAACGGGAATATAAATCTTCTAATTATACTTCTAATATATCCTTAATATATTATTAATAATTCTTAAATTAATATTTAATGGATAAAGAAAATGTATAAGTAATACTATAATATATATTCCTCTATTCTATTTATTTGTACGCTATATAAGGCGGTTAAATATAATTATAAATTTTTAAAATATATTTTATAGAATTTATATTAATTATGAATTTATTATAGGCCCTCCCCCTATTTATTATAATAATAACGGTAAAAGTTAGGGTTATATTATTTAGGACGAATTCTATTGCAATATAAGTAAGCCTACGGAGATTATAGTTTCTTTATTTAAAGTTTAAATTTAATAATTATAGTTAAAGTATCGGAATTAGTAATAATAAGGATAATTAAAATAAATTAAAGATAGTTTAAGAATAAATTAAATTACCCTTAAGCTATTTAATTCTTAACTATATCTATAATACTCTATTAATATTAGATCCTTTTATAAATAATTATTTTTCTATAGGGAAAATCTTCTACGGGCAATTAGGGATTTTTCTCTACGGGGAAATTTCTATATGTATATTATTCCTTGTATAAGTAGAAGTATTAATAGTATTGAATTCGATTTTGTTTGTAATAGTATTACTGAAGTATTGTACAAAAGGAGACTACAAGCGGTATACTTCAGTTTTGTAAGGAGAAATAATCTTATTTAATGTTGCTATTGAAGTAATTCCGTACGAATACGTTTTGTAGTAACTGTGTTAATTTTTTATTTTGGTAGGTCGGACCAATTTTCTATGTAAATATACGGACCACTAGGTTAGGAAGCTTTGGGTATAGGGTCGGGTTATTTGACACCTCACCTTGTTCTAGTCACGCGCTAGCATCTCTCAGAAGAGAATGTGTCGCTCACCCGAGCATTTATACCGTCCGACGCTGGAGAGAGTCCCTCTTCTCGCTCATTTCGGCCGTACCCTTTCTTCACTGAGAGAAGACATGCTGTGTTGCAGTTGAGTCACCTCGGGGTGCGCACGAGCTTGTCACCATGACTTCCACTTTCATGGGCCGCATTATCGGTGGCCGCGACCTCCTCTCCGCCGTATGCTCACGTATCTGCCGCTCCAACGTAGTTCTGCAGTGATACCAGAGCACAAACGTCGTATCGACATTCGGTTTTTATCGGACCATTGCTTGATGCGAAAGCCACAGAGTTGCACTTCCTCGGACACTTCTACCATTCTTTGACCACGAAGCCCTCCATTCGGCACTACACTACCTCGTAGGCCAATCACCATGCCTCAAAAACCAAACAGACTAGCGAAGACAACAACACATTGGCTGCCCGTGATCCAGAGCCCCGACGCCACAAAGGGAAAACACCCACCATGGCGCTGTCAGTGGGAAAGAGGCACGGCGAGGTCAAACATTCAGCCAAACCATGTCGAAAGGGAGCATGTTTGTATGAGCAGTCACTCCGAGTGCTTCCCCAGCCTGCATGCGAGCTTCTCAATGGTTGCCCGAAATGGCCATGTGGGTGAGGTCGGATCTTCTTCTACGTACAAGGATCTTGGAGCTAGGCTGCGTTCAGGCAAGGTAGGTGGTATTGATTCACAAGATGAGAGCACAGGAACCACAGGAACTGGACGGGAATGGTCGATCTCTTCCCAGTCCTTTGGGACTTTTGGTGCCATCATCCCTCTTCATTTTTTCTTCTTCTTTTCTTTCCCAGGTGGACTCGCTCTCTTCTCTTTTGATTTGGATCTTCAAATCTCACCACCACCGCCATCGTCATCGTCATCACGCTTCATATTACCAGGAATCGGATACCATTGTCGGCGGCCAGCCCTGCCATCACCCGTCTGCGCGCACCGCGTTTAATGTACTGTCTCAGCCCTACTGGTGGTTCCCTTCGGATACCGGCCGTGGGCCCGTGGCGCTCTCTCTGCTCCGCCTTTAGGTAGAACCGTTACGGATCCTAAGTCAGCAATAATAGGCATCTCCCTTAGCAGGATTACTACTGCTTCTCGGGTCACACGCCAGCCGGCCCTGTTTGGACAAAGAAGGCCTGCCCAATCAATCTCTGGTCTGATCCATTCCCATCTCATTGTTATCCTTGTACTGGTCCGGAAAGTTGTTTAACGATCGGAAACGGCTCCTTCAGGCCATCCTTCCCTCCTCCTCTAACCCTCTACGTCTCGCAGGCGAATACAGAGAACATCTGCATTCGCGGCGCATTCGACAAACCGCAGCGGATGACCGCATAAACCAGACTATTAGCGACGGAAAATGAACATTGGACCAGCACGGGAGGTACAATAAGCAGAACCGAAGACAAATCAATCAACTCGAAACTCGAAAAAACAAAGCCGCCATGCGCAGCATTTGTTCGTGCTCATCGGGTGTCCTCCTTTATATCATGGCTCTCTTCGGCCAGGAAGCGATGGCGTCGCAAGCGGAGGCACTCCTGAAGAAAGAGATGGTTCACAGGGTCCCAAAGAAGCCAGAAATCACACCTCCTCCGCAGCCATTACGATTGAAACGAAGAGGAGACGACGATCTTACTTGCCCGGTCAACCATTCGCTATGTCCCGAGTCCTTGGGTGGAGGTTGTTGTCCAGATCAGTATGAGTGTGCAAGCGATGCATGCTCGGCGACAACAGCGGCAGTGGGTACGGCGTGCGGGAAAGTAGGATATTATTATTGTCCCATCACGGCCGGACGTGAGTTTATGTCCCCTACCGTTCCGAGTATGGTCTTTAAACTGACAAAGATCAGAGGGATGCTGTCCCGAAGGCTGGGTTTGTGACGCCGTAAGAGGCTGTATAGCACCATACGGGGTAACAAACACGTTCACATCATGCCCTGCCAGCTATAAACTCTGTCCATCATCTTACAACTACGGCTGTTGCCCGAACAACATGGGATGTGCAGTCGACGCATGTTACTCAACAGAGCCATTCAGCACCACCCTAGTCGACATTATCACCACCATCTCTGGCGGCAAGACCATCACCACCACCCAAATCTCCGCTGTCCTCACCACCCCAACACCTCCTCCCGCTCTCACAGGCATCGACGACAACTCCGGCGCCATCCCGAAATTTCTCCCTAGCTCCGTCCCCAAAGCCTCCGCCATCCCTAAGGATACCAAGGACAGCGACGGTAGCGGCGGTCTCAAAGGCGCCCAACTAGGCGGCATAATCGGCGGGGCCATCGCTCTCCTAATCATTGTCATCATCGCCGCCTTCCTCATCATCCGTCGCCTCAAGCGGGTTGAATCCGCCATGGAATCCAGAAAGGGTTCCACATCCGGCTACCACTCCAAAGCCTCTTACACCAAGACGTCCAAAACCGGCGCTTCCCAAGCGCAGATGGAACAATCCAATCGGTTCCTGCACGTCAGAGCACCTTCGGACACTGATAACGCCAGCGCCGATCCTCTGATGTTCATGTCCGAGACGAACACGCCCGGGGATCATACGACGAATGCTGGCAGTTTGGCGGGGACGCCGCAGCCTGGTGCTCACGGTGTTGTTGGCGACGGTGGTATTGGGAGACATGGGAGGTCGGGGAGCGATACTACTTACATGGCTTCGCCTCACGGCGCTGGGAACAACAACGGGAGCGAACTGGCCAGTCCCGACCCAAACTCGGGGTATTTCGACGGTGCTTCACATCTTCCCTCCTCCCATACTACCTCTACCACCTATGCTGGTGGCCATAACGGCAATGGCAACGGCATGCGTCAGAGTGTGGACAGCCAAAGCACCGGGTTGGGATACCACTACAGCAGCACCCGCAACCAAAACCAACACCACTGGCGAAACCAGAGTAACGCAAGCGAACTCTCCGCCGACGGAAGCGAGATCACGCACGGAGTGGCAAGTCCCTTGGTCGGCTCCTCGCATGCTAGAGGCGCGTCAGGCGGTAGTCACAGTTACACTCACAGTCACAGTCACACTGGACTAGGTGACGTCCCGGAGCTAGATTCCTCAGGCATCTTCGTCGAGTTACCCGCCACCACCACCACCACCGCCACCACCTCTCTCCCGCCGCGCAACTCATTTGGTCTGTCATCGGCTTCGAGGAGGAGGCGGACTGGTGGTAGTAACCCCAATACCTCTACCCCTCAGAGCCCTAACACCGACAGCAGCCAACAACAACAACAAAACAACTTGGTAGACGTCCGCTCCGAACCAGAAACAGCCGAGTTCATCACCCGCCCCCACCAACAGCAAAAGCAGCAGCAGCAGCAGCAACAACAACAACAACAACACACCTCTCTAGACGGCTACTACGGCCCCGCAAAAAGACAAGTAGGCCAAACCGCCGCCTCTGGACTAGGTTTTGTGCCGGAGAGGTGGGACGGGAGCTCACCGGGTGCGTACCCGATGGGGTTTCCAATGATTAGCGTGCCGGGGTATGGACTTGGTGTTAGTGGTGGTGGTGGTGGTGGTGGAGGACCTGCTGAGGAGGGTCATGATGAGGAAGAGGGAGAGGGCGATATTGACGATGATGATGATGATGATGATGATGATGATAATGAGAAAGTGAACGAGGAAAGGATGAAAGGGAGAAAACAGCACGGGAATGGGAATGAGAATGGGAATGGGCAGCAATGATGACGATAAAGAGGAAAGTAAAGTAAGTAAAGAGGTTTGTGGTAGGGTTAGAGGATTTATCATGTTGTATTGGAATACAGACAGCAGTGGAAGAATGGGTCCAAACCAGCCCAGGGGATGGACGGACTCCTAGAGTAGGACTGATTGATACCTATGCTTGGAGAAATGATGATACCCAGTTTAGTATTTAGGTAGTCTTTGATTTCCGAGCACGATTATGCATATCCATTCACTACCTACTATTTACAATTTGTATACGCTTCTCTACCCGATGATGCTTGATCCGAGTGTCGAAGCTTATCACAGATAAATCACAGTTTGGTTATAACAAATTCTTTATACTCGCTATGTCTCCTTCTCTGATATCCATTCCATGACCACTGCACAAACACCCTCCTTGCATGCATCCGTTTATTTATTTGGACCCCTTCTTTCTATTCATCCATGTTGGCGTAGATCAACCAAACCAAGCCAAACCCAAACATGAACCAGTTCATACCAAGAATCCGCAATTCAGTACTAAATACATTAGCTCCCATTGCAGCGTTCCACCCTCCAGCTAGGGACGGGGCCGCGCACGCCTTTGCCGCTTCTTGCCCTCCTTCAGATATGATTTGGGTTTGCCGTGCTTCGCTTTTGGTACACGCGCTTCATGATGGTTCCTCCTTCTTTTTCTGCCTATGCTGACTTGGATCAAACGCTTTATTTGTTCACTGGGTCTCTCCCGCCTGCTGTTGTGCCTCTTCGTCCCATCTTGTCCGTGCCTCTCGTTGGAAGTAGAATGCCATCAGTGTTGCCCTTTCGCAGAGTCGCAAGAGCAATCGTGTCGGCTCCCATTACACTAGCTGAGAGGAATGACATAATCTGTGACATCATCTCGTAAGCGACGGAGGAGGCCACTCTGAGGAACAGGACAACTTACCACATCACAAACATCTCATAACACGCATATAGGTGGTCTGGCACCTACGACAAAGCGATCTACCGTTGAAACTCTTTCAAGCGATAGATAGATGGATAGATAATATTCACCCCAGTCCGAACAGCCGTAAGCTCTACTAGCCGGGTCCTGTCTCGAAAGCCTAACCTCTTTGAGATCCTGCCGCAGATAACTAGCCAGCTCTTCTGGGATCTCCCTGACCCGGTCCAGGACCATGCCCCTGTTGGTCATACTGGTGCTGTGGCCGTAGTTGTCTAGCCATCATGCCGCCTTGGTGGTGTTGCGGAGCATACTGTTGATGAGATGCCTGAACTGCATTGCGCATGTCGTGCTGCATCTGTTGCTGCTGAACGTGCTGCTGGTGCTGGGCAATCTGATGCTGCTGAGGATGGCCCTGGACCTGAATGTGCTGTGGGTGGGCGGCATTTGCGGGGACACCATGTTGCTGTTGAGCTTGGAACTGTGCCGCATGCTGCTCCCGCTGCTGAGCGGCTACCTCTCGAGGATCCCGACCGAGTTCTCGCGGATCCCTACCCATAACTCGATGATCGCGACTTAGATCTCTAGAGCCCATCTCCCGTAACTGCGCGTCACGTATCTGAGCATCCCTAATTTGCTCGGGGTAACCTAGCGAGGAGGAGGGTGGCGGACCCATACCATCAAATCCGGCACCGACGGGTCCCGGTGTATAGCTTCTGGCCTGGGACATCTGCTGCATCCTAAGATCTGCAGGGGCTTCTCCTCGGCCAGGAACTTGTCCGGGGGGTCCGCCAGGCCCACCATGCCCGGGACCAGGGGTATTGACGTATCTAACGTACGGCTGGCCCTGCGGCGGAACAGGCTCACCTCTCCGTAGGTTTTGGCGATCCCGAGGATCAGGCATTGGTGGGAATTGGCTCCTGCCATCAAGCGAGCGATGATGTTGGTGCGACACTACACTGCCTGTGGGGCTTTGCGCTTCATGGGCCGAGAATACTGCCTGGCCACGTGGAGCAGGTTCTCTCAGGCCAAGGGCATGAGGCTGTTGAGTGGGCGTAGCCTGCCACGAGTGTTGCTGTTGAGACATTGCACTGCCCATCTGTGGGGGTTTAGCCTGAACGTTGGGACCGTGTTGTGCGGCCCAAGCTGTTTGAGACGGCACAGAAGCCTGGCTAGACTTGGATGGTGTTGGATGCGACGGCGGCCAGCCTTGTTGTTGCTGTTGTTGCTGTTGTTGTTGCTGCTGCTGCTGTTGTTGTTGTTGCTGCTGCTGCTGCTGCTGCTGCTGTCGCTGCTGCAGACTTGAAACAGCGGCCTGCCCCTGTTGGGTCGATGACCATTCTTCCCGTGCCGACTGAGCTTCGCGTCGACCCGAAATCGATGACGGATGGGCTGCATATTGCGGCGTAGGTGAAGCAGCAAGAGCCTGTGAAGTGGCATAGGGTTGATATTGCTGTTGACTTGGATATGCCATTTGGGGCTGCTGTAAATGCTGCTGAGGATGTTGCGCTGACTGAGAGTAGTGATGCACCTGATGAGGTACGGGAGAGTTTGACGCGCCCGGCTGATGCTGTGGTTGATACTGATGTCGTGAGTAAAATTCCCTGTTGTCGCCGGCTGCTGAGACTTGCGGTTCCATGCCTGAGCCCATACTCGACCTGGCGACATTCATATGCGGGGGTTGTGGCGACTGAGTATGATAAGGCTTCAGTGATGGCATAGCAGCCTGAGCGGCCGAAGGGGGGTTGCGCGTGTACGAATACCCTAAGGCTTCGGTGTCCCTGCGCTGCGACGCCGATACAGCAGTGGTCGGCGGCGGCTGGGGAGGACGAGCAGACATCTGCTGGGGCGGCGGAGTTGACGTTGATGCGGCTCCAGGCATGGCTGCAACGTCGTTGACCCGCTTGGGGGCTGGTGCAGGCGCAGGCGGATTGTCATCGTTGAGTATGGAGAAGATGCTGCTGACTTTCTTTGGCTCGGGCGGAATCGCGGGCGGAGCTTGAGACGGAGGCACAGGTTGAGCAGCGGACGTGTTCGCAGAGTATTGCTCCTGCATCGAGGTCGGCATAGGGCGCTGCGTGCTCGGTACCGGCGGTCTCTCCATCGCCGGGCTAAGCTGCGGAGGTGTGCGCTGGGGGGGCACAGACTCGCTGAGCAGGTTGCGGACAGGTTGAGCTTGGATAGGCGGTGTGTAGGATTGCGGGGCGGAGGGTGCCATGCTTCTCGGGGGATCCTGCCGTCCCATGGGCGCCGCCTCCGCCCTAGGCTGCATGGAGCGCTGCGGGGGCATGAAATTCTGGAATGGATCTCCATGGTGCAATGGCTGCTCTGGCTCCTGCTTGAAGCGCATGGCCGGGCGCTCCATCGGTCGCGGCTGCTCTCTTGGCTGGAGCGGTTCCATTCTGATCTGTCGTTCCCGACCTTCTCGGATTTCGCGAACTTCGCGCAACTCCTGTTGCTGGGACAGCAGGGGCATTGGGCGATTGGCTTCAGGAATCCATCCTGCAGAACGGGGCATAGCCTCGCTTGCCGACGGCATGGAGGAAGAGGGAACAGGAGCTGTCTTTTGGGAGATGCGGACCGGCTGATGCTGTGTCTGAGCCGGAGGTTGCGATACCGGGATCGGCTCGCCTTCTCTCTCTGTGAATACGAAGGTGGCGGTCGGCTGGCGGAGTGGACGAGGCACCGGAGACATGGTCTGTGAGACTGCGGGTCCGGGTCGACTCGGTGTCTGCGGCGAAGGTGCCGCGCTTGCCGATGCTGCCACTGGCGCTGGAGGCAGAGGTGCCGGCATCACCGTGGGCGACCGTTGCACAAGGGTATGTAACACGGGTGACGCTTGGATCGGGGTCACCTGGAAACGGCTAAAAGGCTGGTTGGCCGGCGGCGCTGCTTCTGATTTGGCCGGTTGAGGCTCCTCGGCTTCCGCGGCAGCCAACGGCCGGTGTCCTGACGAGGACGGAACATCGTACCGCTTCCTTGGCCCTGCAGAAGGAGTAGGTGGAGGAGGTCGCCTCTCTCCTCTCTGTTTCTTGAGATCGGCCTCGGTAGCAATCTGTTCCCATTCCTGCTTGCCCTCTTTCTTTTGCCTCAAATAGTAATTCCTCACCTGAACACGACTTAGTCAGTTTTACACCCAGTCAGGCAACAGGATATACTATACTTACCATGACTTGAGTTTTGGTTCCCATGTGGTTAGCGATCGCACTCCAGTCGGTGCCAAAGGAGCGCAAAAGACTGGGGAAGTCGTTCGATTCCGAGACACTCCAGTAACTGGATGCTTGCTGTGGAGTGCGAATGCGCTCAGGCCCGGATGGCTGTCCAATTTCAAAAGTAGGTAGAGATGCCGGCGGCGCAGGAGGCTCTGGACGCAGAGACGGGGGAGCCATTACCTCGGAAATGGTTGTTGAGGCCAGTGTAGGCGGTGCTCTTTCGGGACTGGCAAGAGGCGTTTGTTGAGCAGGCGCCAGTGGTGGTTGCATGCTTCCAGGGGGTACGTCGAACATGGGGTTCTGAACACGGGCGCCCAGTTCCGCCGGGGTCTTGGGGGGCATCCATTCGGGGTTTTGTACTCTTGTGGAGTTCGACCGAGACCTGGCATTCGTCCCCTTACCTGAAGCCGCTGGAGGTGTCGGCGCGATAGCTTGAGCAGGCTTCGGCACCTTTGGCTCTTTGTCTGCCTTGGGTTGGCGAGCTCTGCGGCCACCTTTCTTGACCCCTTCGGGTTTCTCAGCACCGCTGTCGTTCTTTGGTTCCGTTGTCGTACCTGCTCTCCTGCGTCCGGGAGTGGCAGAAGGCGTAGCGCCGTCCGAGTCAGCATTAGGCGTGGCTTCGTGGCCCCAGGAAGGAGCAGCAGCACGGCGCGGCTGCTGACGGCGACCGTTGCTGTTCTCCCCGTTCTCCTGATTATCCTCCGTCGTCTCATTCTCTGGATTCCCCAGTTCTGAGACCAAGGCGTTGTACTTTTGCTTTCCGCGTCCCTTCTTCCGCCTGCGCGGCTGCTTCTTAAGCCTCTCCTTCAGATTCAACTCCCTCTTCTTCGCATAGTAATACTGAATGACAGAGTGGAAGTCGCGGTTCGGAAGTTCGTGGGCGATCTTGCCCCATTGCTTGGGATACTCGAGGTACGCCTTTTCGAACTTCTCCGCTTCTTCCGCAGTGAAGTTGACATGGTATGGAACCGCCTGCCAGGTCTCTACAAGCTTTTCCAAGGGCAGCAAGCCCGATGTATCGACAAAGAGTTGGTGATCCTTTTCCTCGTCTGTCCAAATCATCTCGGGAATCACGGCCTCCTTATCAGTCCGATACTTTTCCCGCTGAGCTCTTTCCTCTCGCTCTTTCTTCTCTTGTGCTTCTCGAATTGACTCTTGGATCGCATACTCCACGTCG